AACGAGTTTCATCGGTCCTCATCTCGTAAGATCGACCAACGAATCTCTTCTTCAGGCACTTTCATTCGAAATGAAAGTCCCCCAACAATGTTATCTCAGGAGATTCATCTAACCCCAGTTTTTCTTCGTATCTGCAAGAGCTGAACAACCAAAAAAGGCTTCATTCAATTGCTCTCACTTCGTTTTTTCATCTTCTTATCTTTTCGGGACGATCCCGAACAGCATACAATATTGCTGAGCTTACTTCCATTTCGAGTGAAAATGTTGGGTGAAGAGATTCGAAGGTCTGTTCCACCCGAAGACGACGGTGGATTTCTCTTGACCAGCTGTCGATTAGCTTTACTGGAACATTCATGCTGACGCTGTTTCCGAGGCAATCTCCTTCAATTCCTGTGAAAAGGTGCTAAGCTTTCGTCCGTCATATGACGGACATCATCAGAGCGAGGTAACATCGTCACAACAAGAGTCAAGAAAACTCACCGGCGAATCGACAGCTGGTCAAGAGGAATCCGCCATCGTCTTATGGCGGAAACAACCTTCGAATCTATTCGCCCAACATCTTTACTCGAAATGGAAGTAAGCTCAACAATTATGAAACAAGAGATTTCTCAAAACTCAACTTTTTTTAGCATACAATGTCTTCGGCGTCTTCTGTCCCAGTTATCCCGGTATTGCCCAGGCTCCGACTATGGATTTGGCACATTCACAGAAGTTTCGTCTGCGTCGATAGTGAACCGTGCAAAAACTCGTAAAAGACAAATTTCGTCCATCTTTTGACTCACTTTGTGCGGAATGATTGTCTCTTTGACGAATCGTAGCTATCTCCTTGATGCGAGGCTGAAAATCGCTATGCCTACTACGACAGAGGACTCTGGACGAGACACATTCATCCTGTTCGTCCTGGCGGAGCTGCCAGGTTGCTGCGGGAACGACATTAATCAACTTCCACCCAGTGAAAGGAGGCTGTTGCCTAAATAGAGATCACACCATCTTCATCGTTATGTCTAAAAGAGCTATGCTCTTCTGACGAAAGTTCATAAGATGCAATTTCCCCCTACCAACAAGAGTGAAAGTGTTTGGTTAATAGATTCGAACATCGATACCACCATAAGACGACGGCGGATTCCTCATGACCGGTTGCCGATTGGCTTTGCTGATACAATCTTTTTGACGTTGTTTTCGAGACAATCTCCTGCGATTCCGCTAAAAATGTGCTAAGCTTTCGTGAGTTGTATGACGGGCAGTATCAGATCAGGGCGCCAAGAGGACTCAATCTTGATTTCTTGGTCTTCGCATAACCAGTAAAAAGTTGATAAGAATTTGTACCATACTTATGTAGTATATGCGGAAAGTATTTAGTGAAGAAGTGGAAGTTCGGTGAACAATTTTGACTCAAGAGAATCCTCGATGCCCAATTTTTTTTCGCATAACTTTCAGACGGCGGACTGTAGGAAATGTCTTTATAAAATGGTTTGAGGTGATAAGGGAAGGTTGTACAAATTTGAGCCTCATTACTGGGCCAAAAGTATTTACTTGTGTGGGATTACGCCTAGAGCCAGTGTTTGCAGCCTGGTCTGTACGAGTCAATTCGAAGTATTTTGCATCATTTTAAATTGCAAAATTAAACCTGAAAAGGGACAAAATATTATTTCGTTCTTTCGAGCCTGACTAAATGTGCGCCCTTACAGGAGTCGCATGTGAATATATTACTATTGGGTTGAGCCTGTTGTCACCAACATCCTTGACATCTGGTAAACTGGCTGATTTCCAAAAATGTTTTGCACCCATTTGTACTGCTGGGACTGAATTATTATCGGACTGCCATTTCTGTTTTTAGAAGGTGCACACGATAGTTAAGAAAGCTAATCTCCTTGACCTGCTTACGGTTCTCGTTCAATTTGTCTGCTCTTGCCAAGTGTATTCTCTGAAAGACCAGCCAAAGTTGAAGATGCACCAATTAAATGACCAAAGAGACGCTTAGTTATACTGAAATGGACAGAACAAACGAACCGATGGATCCATCAGGCCATAAAAGTGGCAGATAAACTTCCTAAGGACAAGTCATCCTGTCAATAAGGCTTTCATAGAACTTTCATTTTTTCGAAATGCATTTCGAAATTGGTTTATGTAGAAATAGGGCCATAGACTAGGTGTTTAACAACATGCATACGATAAACAAATTACTGTTAATATTAAGGCCAAGTTCGAGTTAATAAACCCGATCATTTTATGCATGACACGAGTTCAAGGGGCGTAACTGGCATATATTTAGAACGTTTACGTATATATAAATACAATTTACCCCTTTTAGTCGGGGCCTTTTCCTCTCCTTAAATCAGGGAGTGTTTTGTGTATGTTTATGTCTCTCTCTCCTCTCTTCTCTCTCTTTATTTCTTTATTTCTCTGTGTTTTTATGTGTTAGTGTGACAGTAAATTCTTTCTAGAATCTTCACTGGACAGGCTGACTTGTCGATGGGCCTTGACTGTTGGGAGGTCTTGCTCCTTGACGTAGACACTCGATTTTTCCATGAAGCATATTTGCGAATTGTTTGGCAGCATAAGATGCTTGTCTTTTTATCACAAAATCAGATAATTTTGGTACGTGTTGTCCCCTGGGCTGGACCAGCCTGTTTGCTAGTCCTGTTGAGAGCGTTGCTGAAACTAAATTTTATTAAAATTGGACAATCGAAAGAGACTGAGGAAGATTAAAAGTGGTGAAAGTCTTGAGGAACTTTGGCGCCGCCTTTTTAGCCCAATTCATAATCTTTGTCAGCAATAGTACAATTGACAAGTAAATCCTGTCTTAGATTAGCCCCTTCTTACCAGTGGCCAACGTTGTCAATACTTAATTTTTCAGCCCTAGGTTGTACCTCTTCTGTCTAGAGAGTATATTCCACTGACTTTACCTGACAAAGTCTGTTAAATAGACCACCTTAAATTCGAGTTTAGATAGGCTTGATTAATTGCGAGAATTATGATTCTGTGTAACTTAGCTGAGTTTACCTCTGAGCCGGCGCATCCAATGCTTCGTTTGCACTGGTTGGCCAAATGAGATATAGTCGGGCGTAGATTAAAGAGCCCTTTTTTGATGAAATACATTATTAATTCTATTGCTAAATTAGAATTTATCTTCAATTAGCCCTTTGAAATTAAGAAAAAGGGCGTATCTTATCCATAAACAACCTCCGCCTCATTTATCACTCGGAGCACCCATACAGGAGGGTTTGATTCTTCAGTAACATTCCATGAACTTTTATTCTGTATATTTTAAAAGAATGTGTTCCCTTCAAGTTAACTCATCTCTGATATGCCTCCTATGCAATTACTTGGGTCAAGGGAATGCACAAGTCTTTAGATGTCATTAAATAGGGCACATGAGGCGATTTAGCCCTCCAAACATAGCCTTAGAGACAACATTTGAGTAGCAGCCAAATTTTTGCAAATATAAATTATTGTTTAATCGAAGGTATGAAGGCCAAGATGGTATGGCCTTCTGTGTGGTCACAGTCTCCTTTCGTTGTATAGAAGTTGTTTGACCTTTTTTTGCAACTTGGTCATATCGGTAGGAAGAC